CTTAAACAAATAAAAATAATTTTTTAATATTCCCTTAAGATTTCTTTAGTACATAGGCTATTTATGTGTTAATTTACAAATATTTGGGGATCTGCCAAATTTCTCATTGACTTCTAATTTCAGTGTGGCTGGAGAACATACTGTTTCAATTCTTTTAAATTCTGAGACTTGTATTATGGCATGGCATATAGTCTTGCCTAGAGAATGGCAAAGGCATAGTAGAAAATGTTTTGCTTTCGTGTCAGGACAAATTAGCTGACAGCATTGTCTTGTATGCTCAGTGACTCCATCAAGTTGTCCTATAAATTACTGAGGGCATAGCTTTGAAATCTCCAGATATTGTTGAACTGCCCATTTTCTTTGTCATTTGGGGGGGATTGTTAGGTGCATATACATTTATAATTGTTAAACTTTTATGGTATGCTGACCCTTTTATCATGTACAATATCCTGCTCTATTTCTAGTAGTATGTCTCAAAGCCCACTTTGATATGAATACAGCAATTCCAGGTTTCTTATGGTTACTCTTCATGGTATATATTTTCCCATACTCTAAAGCTGTGTATGAATGTAAAGTGCCTCTGTGACACCATATAGTTGATTCTATTTTAGTCTATTCTAACCATTTGATGCAAGGGTTCAGTTCATTCACATTTAATGAAATTATTGGTATGGTTAGACTTTTATTTTGTAAATGCCTCTAAATGTTTCAAGTCTTTTTTGCTTCTTTGTCCCTCTTTCTGCCTTTTATGTCAAGCATTAATGTACTCCAAAAATATCTGAGTGATGTTTTAGTGATCTAGGGACAGTAGTAATATGCATCTCAATTTATCATATCTCCAGATTAAGGCTAATGTAATTTCAATAAAATATAGCTTTGAGTCAGGGATTTAGTTCAGTGGTGCCACCGCCTGCCTTGTAAGTGTAAGGTCCCGAGTTCAATCACCAGTACAAAACAAAACAAAACAACATAAAAAAAAAAAACTATACATATATAAATGGCTTTGTCGGGTATTCTCTCCTTTAGAAATTTCCAACATTTGAAAGAGCTTTGAAATTCATTCAGAATGGATGAAAAAGCAAGAATCAACTACATGGTATCCAAGGAAACACCCAGATCCCCTCCTTAGATTTAAAGCCACTATTATATACCAGATTTATATTATAAACTCAACAATATATAATTATTGCTTTATAAAGTATATATTATCACTTAAAGAAACATTTATTGTGGTAAGCAAATGAATTACTAAGATCCCCAATCTCTGATGGATCAAACACTAACCCTGGTACTGCTGTGAAAGGACTGTACAGGTGAAAAACGAAGTTACTAACAAGGAAGATTATCTGGGTTAAGGGCCTTAAACTGTCACACAAGTTTCCTTAAAAGCAAAAGGAACAGCAAAGCAGCAGCAGAGAGAAGAGGCAGAAGGGTGATCAGAAAAAGGAAACGTGAGAAGGACTCGACAAGCTGTGGCTGGTTGTCATGGTGGAAGAGGAAAGAGGCCATGAGCCAAGGAATGTGTGCGGCTTCTAGATACCAAGGGTGATCCCTAACCAATGATCAGCAAGGAGATGGAGACCTCAGTCCCACAACCTTCTGGAACTGAACGACGTCTGCAAACAATTTGAGTTTAGAAGCTTACTCATCCTGAGCATCCAGAAAAGAATGGAGCCACTGGCACTTGGGAAAAAAAGTAATTTATTTGCACTGCTTCCATTTTTCTACTGTAGTGTTAGGACTTAACATAAACAATCACTCTCCTATTTCCTATTTACAGTTCATGTGGAATATTACTACAAACACAATATACAATTTTTAAAAACTTATGGGGAAATGCAGTTTATGTTTTTTCTCCTTTGTAGGCTTCTCAATCATTCAACATAAGTGAAAAATTATATGGACATTTTCTGTACATATCTGAAAGGGCAGAGCTTACATTGATAAATTCAAAAGAATTTTGCACAAATACAATAAAATACAGAAAACAAAAGGTATAGATGATGTTATTTGGGGAACGATATAAACAATACAGTACCATTTGGGTAATTTAGCAACATAATACCCATACTTTATAGAAATAAAACTGCAAACTGGGAGAATGCTCTGACAAATATTAAACATTATATACACAATGAGGTAAATGTACCTTGGTCTCTTGAGAGGTAATTTAAGTTTAAAGCAGTTGACATTTTGAAGCATCTCCTTGACATATAAAGAAATATCAAACACCCCATTCCATTGGCACAATGTGAAAAGGGGGATATCAAAACATGGTTCATGATTCTCAATGCACAAAAATCTTATTAAAAAACAAATTCACTTGTTTTTTTTTAAGTTTTAAGAAACAAATTGGTGTTATTAGCCGTATTTTTTAGAAAGCTTACATTTGCAAATTAGATTGCATAATTAAGATTAAAAAATAATGTACTGTTAATCCTAACATCCTAGGAATCCAGCACTAGAGAGGGCCGTATTCTAGCATTCCAAAACAGACATGAGAAGCTGCAGTACATGTCCAGTGCTATGCTCTAGAATCTCAAAATACTTCAGTATTTTTCTGGTGAGCTGTAACAGAGCCATTATTTGGAATCTCAACCATTTAGAGCCAGAACACTGCCACAACCAAGAATAAAAGAAACAGGTGATTTACAGTTATTCCTTCAGTGCATGGGAGGAAAAAAAGTAAGTTTGATACGTTTCATACAATACTGATTTTATGTGTTAATTAGCACTTTGTCATTTGTTTTAGAATACAGTTTATATTCTGACAGGTCTCAGACATAGAGGGAAAAAAATAGCTCATCAAAGTTGTACTTGGTCAAGTGACCACTTCAGTAAGAAGTGAAATCTGAAATTCTTGATAGCAGTGGCACCGTACACCAACTCAAGGCACTTCTCGAGCACTTTAGCATTTTAGGCCCGACTGTCCTACACGGGACCTAACTGGCCACTGCTTCTGGCACAACTCCCACTACCGCACCTGCCACCCTGCTTCTTGTCTATGGCTGAAGTAAAAGCAGGGCAACCAGCAGAAGCATCCCAAGCCTCATCTCCATACTTGGAGACCCTTCCCTGACAAATCCAATGACCCAAGAAAAAGGAATTATTTCCCACAACTTCCATCAATCATTTTACTCCAGGGCCTTGCAAACAACACTTCAGTCAAAAGTCTGGGTATGAGAGTGGGAGGCAATGGTCACTGAGATGGGGGCCAGCGGGATGATAGGCTGGGAGAAACAGAGCTGAATACAGGAAGGAAGGAAGGAAGGAAGGAAGGAAGGAAGGAAGGAAGGAAGGAAGGAAGGAAGGAAGGAAGGAAGGAAGGAAGGAAGGAAGGAAGGAAGGAAGGAAGGAAGGAAGGCAGGCAGGCAGGGAGGGAGGGAGGGAGGACCAAGGAGATGTTCCCCTAAGTCATACTTGCCCCGTTTTCACTCCTTTGGGGTACTGACAAAATTATGTGCCAGAAGACTTGTTTTAGTCACACTAAATCTTCGAAGGTGAGCATTTTAGGACAGGCAATATAAACAAAGGATTATGTTTCTAAATGATAAAAGTATTACTCTAGTCAAATTTATCTGTGGTTATGGCCACAGTAATCATGAGCCATATGATCTTTTAAGAAACTTTTATTTTCAGCGTTAACCAAATGGGGTTCATCAAGCTATGCCTAGCCAAAATAAGAATTAGATGCAGTAATATGTAAACTGAATTTAGAACTATATTCCAACTTTTTAAAAAATCCCTGATTCATAAAAAGTACATTTTATCAACTTAGGCAAGAACAGTAAAATTGTAACTCAATCTTTGATGTAATGAGAACTATCTTTAGCAAAAGTTGATTACCTTAGATGAAAGTGAGAAATAATGTATTACAACTTTAAATCAGAAAACTTTTGGTATGTTCTTAAAATTATATAAAAATAATTATAGTGATGAAATGCATTGGTCCCCTGGATTTCATAAAGCAGATCTTGTAAGCTTAAGAAATGCGCCCCCAAAGTACCTGATCATAGAACTAGAGATTATTAAACAGGTAATATAACATAACTATAAAAACAAACCTCTCAAACTCATTTGTTTCAATGAAATCATGATTAATGACAGAAAAATACTGTAGTCAAAATATTAGCCTCTAAGAACATTTTCCTCGTGATGTTTTTTTAACCACATGAAACTGACACTAGATTCCTATGTAATGTCATTCCTTCTAGAATTACTTTGGTTTTAAGACCAAGTAGTCTTTCAAATTTATTCTAGGTATAAGATATAAGACTTCACCAAAATGCAATTCATTCAGCATGAATGGCCACAATTTCTTCCTGACTGTAAAGGTTATTCTGACCTTTTTAACAGGGAACTGGTAGCACTATGAAGTCAAAGTCCTGCCTCACAGCTATGATAGTTTTCTTCTCCCTCAGAAAGATCACAGTGATAAAAAAGACTTTGAAAACAGTAAAAACCCACAGACTTTACAGCACTCTTAAGTAAAAACCAATAATCATAAGATAGTTTTAACTTGACGTGAGAAGACCATGACAAATTTATTTTAAATATGTGATTTGACTGCAAACATCTGCAAATGGAGAACCTATATAAGAATGTTCTCTAGCTACCACCTGTTCCATATCGAGAGTGCACTGAAGTCACTATGCAACCATGTAAATTAAGCAGTTGCAGTATCTGCACATATGAGATAAGGAAAGACTGAATTAAAAGCTGCCTTCTTCAAAGTGTAGTGAGACCTCAAAACTACACTGTTAACCTTACAAAGACAGAGAACCCACAGAACACTTACACCTATGTAACAAATGTGACTGGCACGCCCATCTGTTGTCTATTTGAATTATTAACTACCTTTGCCTCTCTAAAAGGCCTATTACTTAACATTAACCATATTCTATTTTATTTATTTTTGGTAGTGGGGATCAAACTCAGGACCTTGAGCTTTTGAGGCAGGCGGCGGAGCCACTGAGCTAAATCCCCGGCCCAACCATATTCTATTTTAAATGTAATTCATTTCTTAAAAAAATAACACTGTTGTTGATCAGATAAAGAAAAAAAAATGGCGTACAGAATACCACACAACTTTTCACACGCAGCTAGACAAACTTTCCCTTATAGAAAAATTAGTCTACATGCTATGAACATTAAAGCACTGTAAGCATCTAGAGTGCCACTTGACTTTTTAAAATATATTCAGACAAGACAACTGAACTCTAAAAAGCTCAAAGTGAGACTATTCCAACATGATCACGGTAATAATCGGCTTATTAACGCCACAGCATTTCTTTAGTGGTTCAAGCACATTTTGGTAGGAGAAAGGCATTTTCAAAATGGAATATCAATGGCATACCACAAAACCCCTTAAAAAAAAAAAAGAAAGAAAAGGTTTGAGTTATTCAGATAAATAAACTTTTTGAATTCAAACACTATAGGTTTTAACATAGAGACTTCAAGCAATTCTACTCATTTCCATTAGAAAGACACAGAAGTGGCACTTACTGGTATAGTACAATCCCATTTTGAAGGCATGTATGTAATGTTCTGAATATGTGAAAGAACCATAATAGTACACAAAATATAACTGCATACATTATGTTCCTCACTACTATATGAGGTCCTTTTTAGACTCAAGATAAGAGTTTTTAAGTGTTAGTTTTAAGATCCTGAAAAATTATAGAACAGTACATTCAAAGATGAATCAAGGAAATTCTTTAGTGGTTCAGAATCCTCTGAGAATGTACTACTAACCAGGAGTAAATCACTTTCTTTAAAAATAACTCAACAGTCCAGCTCCTTTGCCCTTAAAGATGATCTTCATCACAGCAGTTACCTAAAGTTAAGAAGAGTAATCATCGTTTAAAAAACAAGTTTTGTTAATAAAAAATAAAGGTAGACTATATAACATTTTGTAACTCTCCTGGGAAAGAAGCGTTCATAGTGCACAGAAAGGACCCAGATGGCTGCTTTCTGGGTCCAAAGAAATCCTGGGACATTTTTAATTGACCTTATAGACTGTTGCAAAAGGAAGCAATATCCTTCTGTCCCCTCTCAGTGAGGTAGAACAATTGGCCTCCCAAATGAAAACCCAGGAGCAGATCTGAAGAAAACGTAGAGTTCAGACAAAGTTGCAGAATTACATTTTGATGCCTTCCTGTTGACTGAGTTGTGACAATGTTTTCTTAATACGCAAAGCTGTCAGCCTAGCTGCTCCATTAGCATACCAACATTCTCTCATAATTTTAGCCATCACTCTCAGGGCCTACAAGATATAAGAAAAATAATTAGTGCACATACTACTTTTTCATTGAGCTGAATAAAAATATTTACCTATAAAATTTCTTTCAAAATGATATACAAATATTCTTGAGCATTATTTGTAATAGCAAATGAATAGAAATGACCAGTACTAATAGGCTACTAGTGCTAGCTTCTAGGAAGCAGATGAACAAGGGGTGACTTAGTATATCTGAAAAATTAAATCCTAACCTAGCACTGGGCAAGGCAAGAAGGAAACTGACTTGCACTGAGATTCTATCAAATTAGGAAAATAACTACATTAAGTACCCCTTGGGTGAAGCTCAAGGTAAAACATGGGCAGGGGGGAATCAGCTCAAAAAGCTGGAACCCCAGAAATCTGTCCTTTTACCCAGCTTTGTGCAGCCGGGTGACTGTCTACCTCTAACCCAGCACATGACTACAAATTTGTATCTGAGAGGGAGAAACATGAGGACCTTGAGAACATGAGGACAGAGTTTCATAACGGAAATGTACTGAACATTAAGATCGTAGGCTTTCTCCCCAAAACACGGGCAGCATTTGTATATATTCCTCCAGTCTAAGAGTCTTCTCTGAAAATTTGAGCAGTCCAGGAGGAAAGATCTAAAGAAGAATGTCAGAGTTTCCCAAGAAAACCACCCAATGAGGTCACCTGAAGAGTCAATAAGCTCTACCACACAGATGAGATGCCTATCAGCATTTGGATCCCCTCTTTACAAATTAAAAAGAGAATCTGATCATATATTTGAAACGGAGAAACTGAAAAAGAAAAAAAGCAACTTGAAGAAAACAAACTGTAGAGAACAACATTAAAAAAATCTTATCATTGGGGCTAGAGGTTTAGGTCAGTGGTAAAATGCTCACTTTGCTACCATGCACAAGGCCCTGGGTTCCATCCCCGCACCACACATGCACACAAAGAGATAAAGGAAAACACTGGTACACTTTTACTTCATTTCCCCTGGACAGTCCTTACTCAAAGTTGCTTCAATCCCTATGTTTCACATTAGATGTTTTCCTCAATGAATGAGAGGAGTATTTAGAACAGTAAGTGCTCCTGGAAATTAAAAATGTAAGAGCATAAATGGAAAAGTGAATAGAAGAACTGCAAGATAAAGGGGATAGACCTCCCAGATGACAGAGAAGGTAAGAAAATAACAGGGCTTCCTAATATTCATGTAACTAGAGTTAAAGAAAAAAAATCAGAGGAAGATGGAGAGGATGCAGTTCAAAGATACTTTAGGAACATTTCCTAGGAAAAAACAACTCTTTCCAGATTAAAAAGACCACATGCCAGCAATATTTACTGAATGCCTACCATATAGCAAACCATTCTAGGTCCCAGGAATGTAACAAATGAAAGCCTGTCCTCATAGAGCCTAGAGTCATAGATACATAAATTACTGTAAAATACATGAACATCACACAGTGGTAAATGCTAAGGAAAAAAATAATTCAGAGGAGTCAAAATATGCCAAACAAGGTGGATACTATTTTAAATAGAGAGGTACTATCTCAATGACAAGGCAACCTTTGAACTGAGATTCAAATGAGTGAAGCAAATGAAGAAACAAGAAAAAAAATCAGTTCTAAGAAGGAGGAACTGACATTAAAGAGAGGCAGAGAGAATCCCAAGATCAAAGACAAAGGACATTATAAGATAAAAGCTGTACAGCTGACTTTAAGATTAACCAGTCCAGAGTAGAAACAGAAGGCTCTTGAAAACTTATTTAGGTACTGTACCAGTTTCATATTCTTGACGTGCTTCAATAATACTCTTAAGTGAAATAAATAGGACACTCATGTGTAAATACCAAATAGTTTCTCTGGTGAGAAACTGAAAGTGTAAATATGGATTAAAATGAATAACTGACAATGTGAAATAGAAAGAAGAGGCCCAAAGGGGTAGGGGAACTGGGAGGGGTAGTGGAAAGGAAAGAAGGGAAAGAAAAAAATATGAGAAAAGGAAAAAAAAAAGTCTTTGTAAATAGGGAGGGGTAGTGTAGTCAAAAGGAGGGCAGGGGAATGGGGAAAAAAAATAAGAACCAAGATACAGCACATAAAGGTACAAGTTCCCAATGATTAATATAAATGTATTGTATACCTAAAATGTACCAATAAAAGAATTTAAGGGAAAAAAACCATCAAGAGATTTACAATACCTCAGGAAGTAAAAGACTGAATTAGTATAAAGTACACAGAAAGCTAATCAAATTGAAAAATTAAAATGACAGTGATGGTATCAATTCAGCATCATTTGATACTGACTACAAATTTGGAACATGCTGAGCTGTACCTCATCTAGGCCGGAGGGAGGTAGTATACTTTTGATATTAGAGTCTCTATGAAGTACTACATCATTTTAAGAAGTAAAATCATCTATTAAAAAAAAAATCAAATACTGAAGTGACCAGCTTTATACTACGCCTAAGCAAAAAGACTATCTGCTTCACCAATATCATAATAGTAGCAGCAGCAAATAAAGACAGTCAAAGGACCGGGAATTTAGCTCAGTGGTACTGTGTCTGCCTTGCAAGCGCAAGGTCCTGAGTTCAATCCCCAGTACCTAAAAAAAAAAGTAGATAAAATTTGTCTTATAAGTTTTTTAAATTTACAAGTAAGAACACAGAAAATTTTTTTCTAATGAAAAGCTCACACTGTTAGACAGCATTTTTCTCAAACTCCTGGTTAATGGTTTTCTTGGCAATTATCTGTGAAATCATCTGAAGCCACTCTGCAATCATTTTAGCAAGTAAGTTCCAGAGAAGTGAAATGACCTGTACAAAACCAACTCTGACATGGGAGCCAGAATGGTCTAGAACACAAGTCTCCTAATTCCTGTCTAGCACTCAGTACACTATTCTCGGCTGCCCTAAGTGAAAGAAAGCATTCATTTACCTCAATTGACACATCTAACAACGTCAGTATGCTGAAGGCCACTGCAAATACTGTGTGACCTTTTTAATGGGCTTGAAATTGAACCAAATTATTTTATTTCTACTCACTGATTTAACTGCTATGAAAACAAAGAAAAGAGAATTCTTGTTTTTCCTAAGGAAAAATAGCAAATTTCTGCTTAGTAAACAGAAGCAGTAAAAGAAACACTCACTTCACAGCTCTGCCATCTGTTTGGAATATTTGGTCTCAACTTCTGTTCACAAACTACTTTTCTCATTTCTTCAACGGATGGATCAGAAGGTACAAGATCATAGTAAGGCAGCTGGTAATCTTCATGAATTCCTGTATTAATTTTTAAAAATCTGTTTTGAAGAATTTAGACAGCTAATGCCAAACCATTAGAAAGATCACCTGAGAGGCCTATTGTAGTACCCTATTATGAAATCAGGTTAAGTGGAACAAGACTGACAAGTTTTCATTGTTTCATACACATCTACAACCTTCCCACTAGTGGGCATGCACCTTAACACTCAGCACTGCCATGAGCTCAGCAAAGGGTGTTTTCCAATGATGATTAACTGTGATCTTTGATGACTATTGATGACTATGTTGGCATTTTTTCCTATAATCCCACTGTGCAGCACATGAGATTTTTATTCTGTGACTGCAATCTCTCGCTGGGTACAGACTTACATATTCTCTCAGTGAGTTATGAATTCTACATGGCAAGCCTTAAATTCAAGTCCTTCTACCTGCATCTATCTGTCAATAACATGTCCTATTTGCTACAATACCAAAACATATTCTACTCCTTGCTGCCTCAAAAAACTGAGGTCCTAATCTTAGCCTGGACCTCAAAATCTAAGTGATCATTTCTTAAGTAAACACAGCCAAGTGCTCAATCTAAAAACAAAGCCTAAAAGTTAACAAACTTAACAGGTATTGTAATATAATTGTCACTGTATTAATCTCCAATAATCACCTGGAGAAAATAACCAATTAAAATCTCAAGGAAATGAAGCTGAACCAGGCACATGCTACAGCTTCTGAAGTCACTAAGGCCACTATCCACTCTAAATAACTATAGTTTAAGGTAATAGGGCTCACGTTCTGATGTTTCCCAAGACTCAAATGACCACAGGACAAGACAGAAGAGTAAAGCTATACTCTGGCATGCTCTGACACTCCCTTCATTCCAGGTTTCATCTCCTTGTTTTCTCTGGCACTCAATGATACCTGTCAAGTATGCTAAAATACACACAGAATTCCATTCTGTGAAGAAGAGACAATTCCTGAACAACTTCTGCTCATGGCAAACTGTTAGGGAAAGAGAGAGCAATTTACCACCAATGGAGCAGCGCCGAGCTATTTCCCAGAATACTAAGCCCATTGCGTAGATGTCCGCACGTTTAAAGGATTCAAAATGTTTCATATTTATGGAATCATCTAGAACTTCAGGGGCCATGTACCTGAAAAAGAAGCCGCTATTTTATTTTACTGAATGGCAGTCATACTATACTAATTGTTTCATACATTTTTATTCCTGAGAATAAAATTTAAAAGCACAACCACTATTAAAAATTTCCCCTTTTAGCATGGTTCTACTCTTTTTAAAAAAAATTCACACCTCTTATAAAAATCTCTCCAATGGTGGCGCACACTTGTAATCCCAGCACTTGGGAGACTGAGGCAGGAGGATCACTGAGAGTTCGAGACCAGCCTGGGCTACAGAGTGAGTTCCAGGGCAGTCTGAAATAGGCAGTAAGACCCTGTCTCAAAAAAACAAAAACAACAACAACAAAAAAAACCCAAAAAACTCTACCAAGTACATAAAGTACAAAGTAAAAATCATTCCCTTTTGCCACAGTGCTAACATTGAGCTGCACATCTTTTCTGATATCTCTACACGCATACACATACAGATACACAGTTTTACATAACTGAGGTTATATTAAACTCAAGAAAATTATGAAATATCCACATTGACTTGCACACTAATTATATAAATACCACAAAATGCTCAAATGGCAATTTTATGGGATTGATTTGAGACTTTGGTCTCCAATGAAAAACACACATATAATAAGCATGATGGCTACAAATAATCTAATGTACACCATCTTATGTACTATGCAGGGACTATGTAATTTAATCTGGACGTTTTCTCACTATTAAACAAGATGAAAAGGGGCTGGGACATACAACTCCAAGGGACAGTACAGTAGATAAAAATGAATAACAGTACTCATACTGATATTACATTATGAAGTTTCAAAAACTCTGTTAATGTTGGGGGTCAGGATCCATGAAGATCTGCTACAACCACTGTAGAGGATCCTTTAGCCAGTCAAGAATTCTGAAAGTCTCCACTTAATCCAGAAATCACAAATATAATTCTAATAGGCTAAAATTGTTGATTATTTCCAAGGTCAAGATAGTAGTTTTAAAGAAATGTGACAACATGATGTGATTAAGTAGAGCAAGGCCTTTCGGGTTAGAAATTTCAGCCTACTATCCACGTGCAGGTGGTCACATTACTTAACCTATTATTTGTAAATCACTGATAATAAATAACACCTACCTTTGGAGAACTCGGATTCCATAAACACTTACTGAGGATCTACCACAGACTAGGCACTAGGATACTGGGAATACAAGGCTGCTCTCAAGCAGCTTACAATCTAATAGAATATACAGACACTTATACACAAAGTTACAATATAACATGGTAAATGCTTCAATGGCCCAAGTTCATTATGCTATGGGAGTCCTTGTCAGGGATACTTAAGACTCTTGAGGACTATAAAAAGGCTTCCTATGAGAAAGGAGAGGTATAAATTAAGAAAACAGTAGAGGAAAGTACATTTTAGGACACAGCACATGCAAAAGTTCTAAGGAAGAGAGAAAAGCATATTTTTAGCAACTGAAAATATGAAAACAGTTGGCCTACCTGTAGCACAGCATTTGACGCAGACATTAAATGAGGCAATATGTTATATAAATTAGTAAGATGCCTGGCACATAGTGGGTACTCTATAAACATTAGTTATTATTGTTATAGTTAACCTAACTGATTGATAACATTGTCTGGAAGAGCTGCCTTTCCTCAGTAGGCCATCTTTTTAAATCAGTACTGGCAAGACCATAAGACTTACTTATATTGTCATAACAATGTTAAGTTTGAGTTTCAAAAAAACACATGTATATCCAAATGAGAAAGAGAAGGAAAAGAAGCTGAGTTCAAGAGATACTAAATACCATTTATTCATAAGTATACCTTTTCGGGCCGGGGATTTAGCTCAACGGTTCCACCACCTGCAAGTGGCAAGTGCAAAGTGCAAAGACCCGAGTTCGATCCCTGGCACCAAAACAAAACAAAACAAGTTTACCTTTTCGTTCCCACTCTGTGATTTGGAGCAATATCAATTGTATCCGTAGCTGAATCATGTCTTACTGCCAGTCCTAAGTCTGCAATACAGCAGGTTCCATTCTTCTTTACCAAGATATTCTTTGATTTCAAATCTCTATGAGCAATGGCTGGCTTTCCTAAAGAACCAAAAGTTAAATACAAGTGTTTATGTAATATTAGTCACAATTCTATCCTTTAGGTTCAAAGACCTCTCTTCTTGTCTTAGTATGAAAGCATGTCACCTGGCATACACAGGTGTCTAGGAAATAGTAAATACTATATCAAATGTTGCTAAATTCCATTCTTTGTAAAGGAAAGGAAGACAAGAGATGCTCTAAAAGATGATGCTCAAATAAGGTAAATCTAAAAACTCAGGGGCCAGGGATTTAGCTCAGCAGTGCCATGCCTGCCTGGAAAGCACAAGATCCTGAGTTTGATCCCTGGTACCAAAAAAAAGCGGGGGGGACTGTTAAATGTTGATGTTTGTTAATATTTTATGAACTATTTACAAGAACCCTAGTCACAGACTGATATTTCAACCTTAGAACTAAGCACATACATCACTTCACTTTCCTAGCATTCCAATACACTTAATATTAAATACATAATATTTAATACAAACTAAGAGAAAAAGTGCTACATAAAATAATAATTACAATGTGGAAAACTTCAACCCTCACACAATCATGGCAGAATATTAGGATAGTTCAGGATCCTGGCAGTTCCTCAAACAATTAGACCAAGTTACCATTTATAATCCAGCTATTAACTCCTAAGTATATATCCAAGAAAACTAATAGCAGGCATCCACATAAAAACTTGAACTATTATTCACTGTAATATTATTTGATAACCCAAACTAGAAACCACCCACGTATTTATTAGCTGATGAGAGGACAGATAAAGTGTGGTGGTGGTGTGTGTGTGTGTGTATCCATGCAAAAGAATATTAGTCATAAAAAGTAATAGTGTTCTGACATGCTACAACTTAGGCAAATCCTGAAAACATGCTAAGGGAAAGAAATAATTCACAAAAGACTACAAAGAGTATGATACGATTTATATGAAATGTCGAGCATAAGCAATCTGTAGAGACAGAAGGCAGATTAGTTGTCTATGGCTCAGGAATTTGGAGACAAAGGGGCATAACTAATAACTGCTTCAGGGTTTTTTTCTGAAGTAATTAAGATGTCCTAAAATTAATCTGTGATGATGGCTGCACAACTCTTATTTCATAGTGGTTTTTTTTGGTACCGGGGATTGAATTCGGGTCCTTGTGCTTGCAAGGCAGGCCACTGAACCGCTGAGCTAAGTCCCCGGCCCCTGCACAACTCTTATTTCAAAAACCAATGAACTGTGTATTTAAATGTGTGACACTATATATGAATGATAATTCAAAAAATCTATTTTAATGAATGACTCTGATGGAGCTAAAATGTGAAACAGCACACGTGCCATAAGTGGAAGTGAGGGAGCTATCGGACAACAAATGGACAACAGCGAAACCAGAGACTCTATTAGCATCTGATATCCCACATGGCATAAATACCACAGCACACAATTATTATTTGTAGAATTAAAGCCTTCACACAAATAAGTAAAAAAGAGTAAGACTCTGAGAAAACAAGATAACTATTAAGAAATAAGAAAGACTAGGTTTACAGAATATAGCACAAAAAAGTTTTTAAGATGTGGGCAAGATACAAGGACCTGAGTTCAATACCTGGTACCACACACACAAAAAAAGATGTGGGTGAGAAACAAAACTTCCTAATACTTAGCATTTATCAATTGTAAAACTATTGTACATATCTTATATCAAAGTTGAAAATAATTACTAAGTGCAAGATAGTATTATATAGCATGTCATTTAAAAAGTACTTTCCTATTTCATTCGATATTACATATAAAAATACATTCCCTGAGATTCAATTCCTTTTTTCTTTCCTCACTTCCCCCTCTGTCTTTTGTTCTCTTCCCATTTGAAAAATATTTCCCTACTTCTTATCTTTTATTTTGCCAAATGCTTTTAAAAACTCACAAAATGTCAGTGCTATTATAATGACCAAAGAATCCCTAAGCACATTCTCAAATTCCTAAATTTGAGATTTAACAGAGAGAAAGTTCTCATCTAAAAACTCCATTTTAAATATCTCTAGTTAGGCTGACTTTTAATTTTGATTGGACATTAGATTCATGAGAATCTAAAGCTTAAATACTAGACCTGTTTAAAGAATTACCTTGGGTACCAACTATCTCCATGTGCAGGTGAGCAAGACCACTTGCTGTGGACAGAGCAAGCTTGATCATTCCTTCCACAGTAACTGTGTATCTATTCAAGTAATCAAAAAGGGACCCATGCTCATGATAATCTGACACCAACCAGAGCTGAGTCCATGTACCATTGTCTGCAAACCAAAATAACAATGTTTCAGTTAGGTTATATAACATTTATAATTCATTTATTCAAAAGTTGTTCCATTATATTCTCAATTCTGAATCACACAACTGCAACTGATGTCACCTTAAATTTGTTTTCTTCAGATTTCCTTGTATACTGTTTATCATATATTTTCATAGGCATAACACTTATATTCAGAGTAAGCCCCCTATTCCTGAGATAAGGCAAGTATAATTAACCGTATTTAAGAGATAACAAATAGTAGTCCACAGACAATAACCTACACAGACAGTAGCAGAACTGTGGGATGTAAAGGCCTAAACCAGATCAGATTAGGTGCTCTGTGGCTATTTCATGGGGAGTGGGGGGGGGGGACGGGGAGGGGGATGAGAATCAGGGGGAGCCCAATAAGGCCACAGTAAGAAAGGAATACTATGTGACAAACTGAAATGAGCTTCAGTGAGAAGTGACAAGCTAATGACAAGCTTTACAGATAGACTGTATATATAATTCACAAAGATGCCAGACAAGATGATTAAGATGACAAGGTTTCTGGCTTACAGAAACAAAAACAGTACGACCTTTGACACATAGGTAAGCTGTGATAGGTAAACTGTCAGTAAAAGGTTGAGAAATGTGGGATTGAATTCAGTTTTATACAAGGTGATTTGAACCTAAACTGGAAACATGGGTTCTGTAAGTTCCCTCTGCAAGCTGATAAATAAATTTGAAATGTGTTTTCTCACATGAATAATGGTAAATATGCTAGGCAAGCTCTTAGGCTAGATTGGTCCACAGAAGCATATTTAACCTAGAAGTAGCTGAAATGCCATATATTTAATTAAATAATAAAGAAAACATTATAACACTAAGAGACAGCACAGTTAAAGAAAAGATACACACTTAAGTTGTTTTAACCTGAGCTGGAATCCAGGGCCTGTCTATTACTGATTATGCAGCCTCAACAAGTTTCTAAACCAGTGGGTCTGCTGCTTCCTTCATACAAGAATAATACCTACTTTGTAAGACTTTAAAAACAGAATATAGTTCTAGATTTTTTTAAAGCAGACAGTATAGTGCTCTTGGTTCATGAGAATTTAGAATGTGCTATTTCCTTCCCTATTGGAGATTAAAAAAAAAAAACAAGGTCATAAAATAACGTGTATATTTTGAACCCTGTCACTCAAGAAAAGGAATTAATTAGAACTTAGAAGGAAGGAATGGGAACACTTCAGATTTTGGAGGAGATTTTTGGTACTTTCAAATTAACTTAAGAGATTGTTAGGTTTAGATCTAAACTGTCCCCCAAGTCTCATGAGTTCAGAGGTTGGGATTTTAGAAGGTGACTGGATCATGGGGGTACTGCACTCATCAATGGATTAATCTACTGATGAGCTCCTAGCCTAGGCCTGTTCAGAAGAGGTGGGTCACTGAGGCCATGCCCTGGACAGGTGTATTTTTGTCCAGTTTTCCTCTGCCATGCCCTTCCACCATGCTGCTTCTGCTTTGAGACAGCTGACCACAGACAATCTCTGAAACTGTGGGCCAAAATAAACCTCTCCTCCATTAAGTTGAGGGTGTCAAATATTTTCTCCCAGCAAAGGGAAAGTGACTCACACAGAAAACTGATATCAAGAAGTGGGGCTGTTTCTATGACTGTGCCTGACCACATGATTCAGAAGCCTTTGGAAGTGGTTTGTGGGAGGAGTTTGGAAAGGTCAGAGATGCAGGCTAGAGAAGTCCTACAATGCCATAACCAGAGGCTGATGGGCAATTCTGTTTGGCACTCAGAAGACCAGAATGTTGACTGGAAAGTAGACAATAAATGCCAAGTTCAAGTTTTCACTGGGAGTGAGGATTCTACTGGGAGGTAGACTAGAGGTCACATGTGTTACACCCTGGCAAATGATTTGTCAACATTTTATCCATGCTCTAATACCTTGTGTGAGGCTGAATTTAAAGGTGGTAGACTAATCTGGCAAGGAAACTTCAATGCAGCCCAAAATTCAGACTGTGGTATGGGTACTGCTGGCTATTTTCAGCCAGATTTACAATGAGAATCAGGGCCAAAAAGCAGGTCCAAAGGATGTGAAAATAATATGGCTTGGCTGGAAGAAAGCACCCATAAAGTTAGGGCCAATGAGAATGTTTGCTGAAAAGATTAGTGCCCTTAGAAAGAAACCAAATATTTGCCTTGGGACAATAGGAAAGATCCCTTAAGGGTATCTCAGGAAATGGCCTGGCCCCATCCACTGCAGCTCGAGGTTGTAAAAGGTCAGATGGCTTTAAAAGACTTTGCTTTAAGAAGGGAGTCCCAGAGCACCCTGCTCTTAGGAGGATCACCCAGGAAAGTGTATCCCCAAGTTCAGCAATCTAGGAACTCAGAGGGCTCTGCATTCATAGTTCATGGAGGGTAGGCTACTGCAGACCTTTGGGTCATCCACAAGGTGGTGATTTTTTAAGCATTCAGAATATAAGACTTGTGGGGTTATGGAAGCTTCCATGTAGACTTCAAAGGAAGGCATGGGTGGTCAGGAAATATGCTCCTGAGAAGGTGATGAGCGACACTGTGATAGACAAACTAAAAATATAGTGGAAACCCCAGGAAGCTGGACATGCCAGGAATATGCAACACCAGCTTAGGAAAACCATAGGCAGTCAGCGAAAGAGAAAGGCCAGATGGGCAGCAATCCAGAAAGGCTACAGGGGTGGGGCTGCCCAAGCCCTTTGAAGTTCACATCTCAGCACAACCTGCCCATGATGGTAGACATAGAGCTATTACAGGATTCAATGTTTAACCTTCTGGGTTCTGGCCCACTTCCTTTCTCTCCCCTTATTCTTCTCCTTAGGAATGGCAATTTTACCCTGTCCCACTGTACATCAGAAGTATTTAACATTCTTTTTGATATTTACAGAACCTCATAGCTAAGTTTGACTTGAGTTTCAGAAGAGACTTTTGACTTGGACTTTTGAGCAATGCTGAAACTGTGAAATACTTGGTGACTCTTAAAATGGACAAAATGCATTTTTCATAATGAGATGAATGGATGAATGTGATGTTCAGAAGAGGTGGGTCACTGAGGCCATGACCTGGACCCTTTGGGACCCAGGGATGCAATGTTATGATATAGATCTGAAATGTCCCCCCAAAATCTCATGTGTTCAGAGGTTGGGTTTTTGGTAGGTCACTGGATCATAGAGTCACTATATTCATCAGTGGATTAATCATTCATGAGTTCCTAGCTGAATGTGCTGCATAGGAGGTAGGGCCTGGTCAGAAGAGGTGAGTCACAGGAGATGGAACCTGAAAGGATGAATCCTTATTCCTGGCTTCTCCCTTCTCTCTGCTTTCTTTCTGGCTGTCGTGGAATGAGTAGCTTTCCTCCAGCATGCCCTTCCATCTTGTTCTTTCTGCCACAGAGCCAGTCAGTTATGGACTAAGCCAAAATAAACCTCTCCTCCTTTAAATGTGGGTATCAGGTTTTGTCAGAGCAACAACACAGCAACTAATACAGAGATCAATGATACTAGTTTATTCACTTGTTCTTCACCAATTACAGAAACTGTCTAAAACTGTACTTTTTCTTTTCCTAGACAAAGATGTCACTACTTTATATACATACCTATTAATTACAACTGAATTTTGAAAGATCACAAACAAGTAACAAAGCGTAAAGTGGGCAGGTGGTGCAAAGGGAGATTTTTCTGAGGTAACTGACCAGAGGCAGAAGGAAGGTTATATAAGAGGCCAGGCACTGAAAGGGCCGTCAGAAGTAGAATTATTTCAGTCAACTTTTTTTTTTTTGGTACTGGGGATTGAACTGCAGTGCCACTTAGCTAAATCCCTGGCCCTGAATTATTTAAGTCAGGAGGATGAAATTAAAGGAAAAAGAAATTGGGTGGAAGAGCTAGATTCTGAGCAAAGTACATTCATTAACCATTGAAAAAAATGGAGTTGGGAAGATTCAGTAGGGTTAGCTAGTTCCTATAGTGACCACCAGATGACAGCATCCGCTTGGTTGCTAAGGTTTGGCTTCAAATAATTTGAAAAATGACAGAGTAGGCAAGATCAGGTAACAGTGTTTGGCAGTGAGTTAACAACTATCGTAGCTAGTTGATAGGGCAATACACTGTCAATATGTTGTCTCTACTTTTCTATAAATTGGAGGATTTCTACAAATTAAAGTTTAAAAAATAAGCAATATATGCTCATTGTAAAAATCACCCATAGCCACCATCTGAGATTAAACACTTTGTATTTCAAAGAAATAAATACTACTGAAGGAAATGGGAAGGGAAAGGAAGGAAAAAGATGACTACAGGTCTGGCCATGGGAAAGCTATGTAATATACTTCATTCAGGATGAGGATGGTCAGAGTCATAATGAAGTCTTTGTATGGGTATATAGGTATTAACTGAAACCAAGAAAGCAGGTAAGGGAGAGTCTAAGGTTACTGCTTGCAATCATCACTCATCCCCACTAATGTGGCTTCTTTCCTTCGCCTTCTTCTTTTGGACAGTCTCACTATGTAGTTCAGGCTCACCTTGAACTCACTAACAGCCCAGACTGGCTTCAAACTTGCAGAAATCCTCCTGCCTAAAAAAGCCTCTCAAGTGAGTATGTGCTACCATGCTAAGACCAGCTTCTTTTCTTCTTAAGCATCTGACCTGACCTAGGCCCTGCACCTGTGCTAACAGACAGGAAACTGTTACCAATGGCAAGGTAGGTAGGGAGAAATCATTTCTTGTTTAACTGAGTTTACTTTAAAGGTTAATCTATTTAGCCATGGCAACTCAGTACACACGATGCACTGGGAAGTCATTTTTACTCTCTTCATAGAGAAAGCCATTGGTCTATACAAAAATGGCCTACTGGTCAGGAAGAGATGAAAAAGAAACAAATACATGAGCCCCTCCCTACCTCAAAATTTTAAGTAACCAGTTTATAAATGTTTTCATATATTACAACTATACTCAATTTACTGTCTAGACCTAAAATAACAAAAGTATATGGCTTTCTTTTTTATAGCACTTTTACATTTCATATACCAATTGGATATTTAGAAGCCTAAGTTAAATCTTTAAGATGTTCTTGTTTCTTAATAGATCTTGAATCTATAACAAACATCTATTTATTAGCTTTCTCTATAAAAAGGCTTAACTGGACTTTGCTATACTTAACATAAGAATAAACAAATGTTACTGACCTTTATTGTCTGCTGCTATAAATCCCAGGATGTTTTCATGGCGTAACATTACAGTCTGATAAATCTCTGCCTCACGGAACCATGAACGTTCTTCTCTGGAGGAGAATATCTTAACAGCAACTTCTTCTCCTCGCCACTTTCCTCTCCAAACTTCTCCAAATCGACCTTTGCCAATGCTTTCTTGTAACACAATTGTTCTTGCAATTGTTCTCTGAACAAGCAATGGTAAACCTAAAGACAAATAAATGGTATTCAACACAATCAACAATGTATCTCCACTATAAAATGACCCAGACAAGTATTACTCCTAAAGCTTTAAGGAACTTACAATTTCATTGGGAAGATACATATTTTTAAATATCACAGTACTTACTTCTTTTAAAAGGATCTAGTAACTACCTACAACATTTAAGACAAAATATTGGGACAATCACTTAAAATTATATTCCCTATCCACTAAGAACAATCATTTAACATTATACTGGCACTAATACCAATGAACATCGTATTCTACACTAGTACTTATAAAATCAATATAAACATAAATTTATAACATTTATATACTTTACCAATGATAGAACCTTTTCTAGAGCTTTCAGTGATACAAATAGTCCACTATAGCACATGTGCCAAAGGTTTACTAAATCAAATTAACCCACAGACAGTAAATTAACTTATCTCCTCTTTAGTTTTCTGTGAAATACTTATAAATCCAAATATGAAGTCTTTTAACCGATCAGATCTTCTTTATTCATCTTTGAGTTTCTTACACAATTCCCTTTCTTCCCCTTACTCTCCCTACCTCTTGCAAAAGCAGTCAGCAGTCTGACTATAAACAATCGTTATTATGTGTAAGGAGACTGCTAGTTAAAAAGAGATTTAATTTGTAAGAAATTCTTATTTAAATCAAAGAGCTCAAGGGGAAAAAAATGAGAACCAAGACCTGTCATGTAAAGGTACAAGATCCCAATAATAAATGTAACTGTACCATATACCTAAAATGTACCAATAAATTCAATGAGGGAGAAAAAAAAAAAGCTCTTTTGTTGTACAATTAGTAGATACTAATTTATAAAGTTTTCTTAAAATCTTATATAGAGCCATACCACGTATTTAAAAGCATACTGAAGAGCCAATTTCAGAAATCTAAATTTAGAAGTTACAAATGCAGGTAATAAAATTTTAAAAAAGCAATCACAGACACATGACAGGTTTGGGACTAACATAAATAGTAAAGTTAAGATGGGCTAAAAAGACAAGGAAGTTTTTGTCTTCCCTTTACCAATAGACTTAGATGTGGAATCAAAATTAAAACCAAATTGAGACTAATTTACGTCTTAATTCTTTGTTTTACTCTTTTGTATTTTTAAAACAGCTTGGGAGGAAACTTCAATAGTGAAACAGGATCCCAAAAGCTTAACATGCAGTGAACAATAAAAATAAGACCTGGACAACATGCACACATTATAAGGGATCATAAAGATGCACAAGATAAAATGAACACTGGCCTGTTTTTATTCTTTAAAAAAACTGTCACATACTTTACAATCAAATTAACAGCTTAATTACAAGCACATTACAACCTGTGATTAAAATGAGAGCAACAGCAATTCTGTTATTAGAGGTTAGAGATTCTACAACCCATCTCTTCATTGATGTCCCTGTAGTTCCCAAGTTAAAAGTAGACCATGAAAAGTAGAAATAAGGCCTTTCCTCAAATATGATCATGGTAATGAACATGTGAATTCAAAGAAGGAAATGCTCAGTTTTATCTTTTCCTCACTGAGGAAAGAAGTAAAAAGGGAATTACAAATAAACATTTTATTTATTGATAGGCATGACCCCTATGTACAAAGGGACATTTAGGATTTATAACGACCATAAGGGAAACAGATAGCCTTTTCTGCTATTACTCAACAGGAGATGGCTTTTGCCTGGCTAAGTTCAGAGAGAATTTAGCATACAATGAACTAAGACAGAGAAAGGAGGCCTTAAATTAAGCTGTTTCTGGTGTAATACAGCAAACTGGTGATGTATGTTAGTTTTCTTCCAAATGTTATAAGAGTTAACACCTGTCAATTGGATATAACTCTCAATTTACCAAATGTTTTCATACAAACATCTTGTCTCACTTGAATACAACAACCCAGTGACGTGCACAGTGCAGGGTTCCTCACTTTCATTTTAAAGATGAAGTAATTCAAGCATGAGACATCAGCTAACTGGCTGAAGCCACAGAGCTAGCGAACAATATAGACAACATTTTTGCAACATAACATGAGGTAAGAAAGAAGCTTTCAGACAATAGAGAGCTGTACTCCTTAATGGAGCTAAAAATACATATAAGATGGAGAAAGGAAAAATTTCATTATTTCATGTCCACATTTAAAAAGGTAAACAAATATACTTATTCAGAACTGAACTACCATCTATACCCCAGTGTCTCTTAATTGGTTAGGCACACTTACGGGCATGAGCTCCTTTGATTTCCCTAAGTGTAACTTTGGCAATAAGAGAACAGGTCTCCAAGGGATTAATTCCAAATAATCTGCAACCATTCTAATTTTCTATGACTTTGGTCCTTATCAGTTTTGGGCCAGATAAATCATAAGAAAAATTTTCTTTGGGAACTACATGAACTAATTCAGAATCAATGGCAAACCCTAAAATATAAAATGCTCTGTCTACTCTCCTGCCCAAAGATCTTCATATTGTCAATTATTTGGCTGTTCTAATTCATTCCGAACTCTTACTGCCTCCCTCTCACATTAGGCTCAGGAGTCCCTACACTGGGCTCTTGGGTAAGACTGACGTATTCCAGCAGCCAGGGAAAGTACTCACTTCTTGACTATATATGGCCAAATTCCACAGAAGGATTCAAGTTATGAAATCAATTTCCCTCACCTTCTGAGCTATATTCCTCATCACAACTTCTGCATTAATTGTCCTTTACGTACATATCACTGGATTATATTAGTAATGTTTTCAAATATTTGCTTTATCCATGAATTTCGCCTTTATCTGATGCTGTATACTTTTCAAAGGATATTAAATGACATTTAAAAGTCCTAACACAGCACTTTAAGTATTTTTATCAATACATCTATTCCATATTTCTTATAGAAAACCAAAGTCCAAAGAGGAAATATGATTTAACCAAGGTTATAGAGCCAATCAATGATAAAGCTTCTATTAGAATCTAGATCTATTGATTTAGTATCAAATTCCAAAATCATAATGATAGATAGAAGCATTTGTTCCTTAGTCTCCTTCCAAAGCACGTGCACAAAAAAGTAAAATATAAGTAAAAGTAAAAGTGAAAGCTGGGTACAGTGGCACATGCCTGTACTCCCAGTACTCTGGAAGGCTGAGGCAGAAGGAGCACAAGTTTGAGCCCAGCCTAGGCAATTTACAATTTAGTGACCCCCGATCACTTTGCCCCAAAGGTTAAGTACTGCTATGCCAAAATCCACCGCAGAAGGACTGGCAATTAGCCAGTCTATTTGCAATCCCACAAAAATCAATAAACAAAACAGAGAAGCAAACATTATAGGAACCATGGGGCCATAGTTACATTGCATAATAAGGAGGGTACTTTTTTTTTCTGGAGTAAAAATTACTAAGGACTCATTAGTTTAATAACACCAGACCTGATCTAATGACAGCAATTTCATGTTAAAAAAACAAGTAAATAACCTTCCCAATTCCAAACACATTCCTGTCATGTTTGCTTTCAAATACAAAAATAAGGTTTCTAAATAGTCTTGAACAGAATGGGTAGCTGCAGATCATTTGAATTCCCCTGAATTTCAGCCTCATTTATATCAGAATTGTTGTCCTCCTCCTTTCTAATTATATAGCTAAAATGCATTGAAACTATACAACTGCAAAGCCGACTTACTGAATTGTTTCAACAGGAAAAGTAAGTTCTAATTTACACTAAACTAGCCAGTGAGATTTAGACCAAGCTTAAAGACCTTCATTAGGCTCAGAGCTGGAATACCATCCACACTATCCCAAGTTTCAACAAACTAAGCCAAACACATGGCTTAGCCAACTAATAAAATAAATATTATAACCTGTGAGAAGCAGGGAGGGTAGGAAGGCAACCCACTTTCTGGTCTCCCTTCTGTCTCTCTTAGAAGCTATCTTTCTCTCAAAAAATTTTCCTACTCTTAAAAACCAAAACAAAACAAAAATAAATAAATAAATTTCACAAGTTAATTTTTACAAGACTTCTTAGAAAAAAGGAGAAACAATTACATTACCTGATCCAGACCCCGATGTTGTCATATCATAAATTAAATCTTTTAACGTAGTACCCTCTGAAATAAAAGGGCGATCTAATGAAGGATCTTCCTCATTGGGCACTCGATGGTGAATAACAGTTCGGTTATGGCAGATATAGACCATCAACATGAGTGAGATGCACACAAAGCAGACTGGTCCAGCAATGACAGCTGCCAGCTCCACGGGACCAAGGCCAGGTGATTGCTTTTCTGAAAAAGGGCCTCAAGTGAAATAAACATCAACAACAACAAAACACTGTAGATGGCAGCCACATAATCTTTACTCCATTTTACCCACTGTCAACCCTTAGCCATGCACCTTCATCAGAGCAGATCATAAGACTCAAAGCAAGCAAGCAAAAGCCCATCACACAGTCTTCTCTCAATGGCCCTCCCTATTAGATCTCCAGCTCTGTCAGCACCCTCTTATTCTCCCTGTCTGTGGTCCCAGCAATCATCCAACTCACTAAATTAGCTATCATCAACATCCTAAGGACCTTCCCATTTGTCACTTCAGGTTACCAGTAGAGGAATCAGTAATCTGGAACAATTCCCACTACTGTCTTTAAAAAAAAAAATTTAAAAAAAAAAAAAAAAAAAAAAAAAAAATCACCATTTTTTTTTTCCTGAGTACTTTTCGTCTTATTCCAAGGCCAGTATATGCTTATAGAAGGGGAGAAAAATGTATAAATACAAATAAGCAAAAGGTTTTTAAAAAATTGTTGCTTAAGCATTTCCTAACAACCTGCATTTCAGTACGTGTCCATCAGCTTTTTAAAGGCAATAACATTTGTTTCAATTAGTTTTTTGTTTATAAATATTCTTTTTAGATTATTTTAAATGCCTGAATTTTTAATTCCAGATTACTTATTTTTTCATCTTTCAATTAACATTTTGCATTGTTGTCAGAACCACATTAATTACAATTATTTTAACATTCACTCTGAGCCCTACTAATTCACTGTTCACCACTATTTTTTTCACATCAATCTTTCCCCACTCTTGAGATCTTTGTTTTGATTTTTTATCATAAAGAAGTTTATTTCTAGTCATTTTTTTTTTCAGGAAAAGTACATACAGATCCTTATACACTGAATATTTAATTATCTAAAGATAATATGACTGTTATCTTTGTATATGAAAAATCTCAGCCTAGTTCAATATACAATATCTACTCTGCCCTCTGACACTTAAAAAGACCCAGAAAACCAGCCAGTGTCATAGAGCATGGTTATAAATCCAGAACTCTGAGGCCAAGGCAGAAGAATTCCAAGTTCAAGTGCAACCTGAGCAACTTAGTGACTTAGCAAAACCCTATCTCAAAATAAAAAATAAAAACAAGGATTGGGAATGTAGCTCAATATGAAGGCTCTGGGTACAATCTTTCAATACCACCCCCCCACACACACAAAGGAAGAAAATATGAACATCGTTTTTACTTTTATAAGAAGCCAGTTTTTATGTGCTCTAAATGCTTGTGTGTGTATGTTTCTGTGTCTGTGTGTCTTGTGTGGGTTTTATTCCTGCGCTTGGTATTTTTTAAAAAATGCATATGTGGATATTTTTCATTAGTCAAGCCTGACAATTTTCTCTCTTCTGTCCTTGGTATGTTTTATGGAATTTTAATATACATATATTGGATCATCTAGATCTATTCCCCCACTTAATTTGCTCACCAACTTCCCTTTCTCTGAATTGTAAGACAATTTCTAAAGCTTGACTATAGAATTACAACATCTAGTCTGTGGCTGCACTCTCAGTATTATATTTTTTAAAACATTCCTTGGGGGTAGGGATGTAGCTCAGTGGAACCACACCTGACTGCCAAGTGTACGGTCCTGAGTTAAATCCCCAGTACCAGGGGAAAAAAACAAAACAAAACAGTCTTCAACCAAACTTTTCTCTCAAAGCAATCATTAACAACTATGAAATGTTCTCATTTCATAGTGAACAACTGAAAAGAGACTGGTCTGGCTAAAAATTCTTCCCTAGTAAGCAGTAAGCCTATTTCATAGGATGATAACCTACTCCAACTTCTCTGATTCAGTCTACTGCTTTTAAACTACCAGATCACTCTAATTGGAAAGTTTTTGCTGTTTGTTTATCCTGGAGTTGAAAATGAGTTTATGTTTGTTTAGCATTAGAAATGAGGTGACTTCCTTATAGAGTTTTATAAATCTCTATCCAGGTTATTTCAAGCTGAAACAATGAAAACTAAAAAATCAGGAATAATTTTCTTTGCCATATTAGAACCACAGATCACTACAAAAATGACACAAAGAAATTACAGACTGACAAGACTCCTACCTCAGAAGCTTCACTACCTTGCTGAAACTAGGCAGAGGGCTGCCTGCCTTCTGGAACTCTGAGCTACATCACTGAACAACAAACTACTTGATCAACAAGAGACCAGCTCTGCACGCAAAGGGAGCAAGGAGGTCTGCCCTTTAGGGCAGGTGCTTCTTAAAGGGGAATTGAGAATTTGCCCTTATAGCCAACCTTAACCCCAGTTACTCAGTTTAAGGTACTGGCAGGATTTTCTAAGTGGTCCTTTCACTCAAGTCTTTCTTGTATCACTAGCCTACTCTTTGCTAATCTGGTGCTGATAGTATATAAACTGTAGAAGTCCCTCACACATACTGGCAAGTGGGTAGCATTCTTCCATTAATTCTTCTATGATTAATATGTCTCCCCCATTCTTATACTCCTTTGATTATTACTATAGAAATTTAAGATTCAAGGGACAATAATAAAATAGTTAAATCTTAAACCAGAGCTCTAAAATTAATCCATTCCTATGCTTGTAATCCCAGAACTAAGAAGGCTGAGGCAGGAAGATTGCCGTGAATTTCAGGCCATCCTGGACTACATAGTAAGTTCAAGGCCACCCTGAACCACATGGTACCCTGTCTCAAAAAAACCATATAGACAGGCAGATAGACAGAAAAATAGGATAGACGCATGCATTCAAGTTGCTGGCTCTAACAAGACATTTTAAAACATAAAGTATGAATGATGCCAAAAGTTTAAAAAATCATGTGTAATTCGCTTATCCATAAATATCATAAAATAAGATAAAATTATAAAATGAAAACATCTAGACTATAGTGCTAGTTGCTGGTGGCTTTAAAAATAAGGTCATTATACAAGGAAAAAATTTACTCTGAGGACAAAGCAGGGAAATCCTGAGATATATATACTATTGCTATCAATTTATGAGAAGTTGCTTTTAAGAGACTATCCTTTTAGGCCTAACAAATCTCGATGAAAATCTATCCGGGAACTACCTTCTTGTCATAGTTACCAGGATCTTGGCTACTCTTTTAACTCCACAATTATCCACAAGTCACTTCCTATCTATCTTGAATAAGTTGGGCTACACAATTTCTACAATGCTTCCCAGTTCTAAAATTGTAGTCAATCTAACAACTCTTCTATAATAGCCAGGGGGAAAAAAAAAAGTTATACAACTTACCAGTAGTTGGGAGTTCTATTTTATTGCAGTGGTCCTGATTGCAGCAATATGTTGTAGTAACAGCCCCAGTTTTTGAAGAAGGTGCACAAACAAATGGTCTATCTCGAGGAATTAAATCGATTTCAGCTATACACATGGTATTGTGTATAACTCTGTCTGTGGTCTCTGTGACAGAGACAAAGCAGAGCCCATCTGTCACGCAGGTGTAATTGTCTTTTGTACAGAGCTGGCAGAAACACTGTAAGGCTGGAAAAAAGAGCATAAGATTCTATAGAAAAAATATGAAGTTTAACAGTCTGAAATTAGATAATATTTGCTCCATTAATATATTCTTAATCCTGTTATCACATAATTTCTGTGCACTGTTCAAAAAACAAAACTCTAAATTCAGTCGAATGCCACATATACATAGAAGCTCAAGGAAATATAAAAAATTTGAACCTGGGCTTTTTCCTAAAAATTTTTTACTTCCAAGTACAGAAAAAAAATGTTACATGAAATTTCACGGAGCTATAGCAAATGTTGGCTCTCTCACTTAAAACTTTAAAAAAAAAAAATTTTTTTTTTTTTTTTGGTACCTGGGTTTGAACTTCGGCCCTTGTGCTTGTGAGGCAGGCGGTGGCACCACTGAGCCAAATCCCCGGCCCTAAAATTTTTAATGATTATACTGTTCTTATCCTAAAACTATGCATTTATAAAATCCACAACTGGGGACAATATATGACAATACCACCACCTACTCACTTTCATTCTCATTGAAATGGGAATGCCATTTCAATGGATTTATGGTAATAGGAGAAATGGAAAAGATTCATATTGCCCCAGATAGTCTCGCTTCACTTTTTTACAAATCCTGAGAAAGACATTTTCCAGCTGAGGATAGTCTCAGTGACATCAAGAAGACCACACCAGTAACAATTCATTTATGATCCAAGAACATTTTTTTTTTTTTTTGTACCAAGGATCAAACTCAGGACCTTGTGCTTTCGAGGCAGGCACAGTACCACAGAGCTAAATCCCCAGCCCAGATCCAACCACACTTTATCTTTATGGCTCAACTCCAGGAGTGACCTCTTTAGCGGTCACTGTGTTCCAATACATACAGATACCTACACACATGCTCAAATATGCCTTCCAATAAAGGTAAGTGCTCCGCAGAGTATACAAGTATACAATTTACCAGAATTCTATTTTTGTTTTTCTCTCCCATGAAACTGTAAGTTCCTTGATGCCAGGGACTATATTCATTTTTACAAATCTGCCACCTCTCACTAAGCCTGAAACATAGCAGCATTTTTGAAATGCTTAATGAATGACAGAATAGGTGCCTACATTTCACAATGATCTCATGAAGCTATAAAGTACAAATGTGTCCCTCAAGTTCAACCAAACTTTTCAATTATGGCAAGGGAAATGGAAAAGTCTGTATATGTAGAATGGCCATTTATGATGAAACCAGGGGTCCACACTACGTCAAAAATGAGTAACTAGGCAGACAGGCCAAAAGAAAGCTAACTCCTTGAATGATTAACTTGTTCCAGCCTTGACTGGTTCCTGGGAGATGAGCCCTGAACTTTTGGAACAGTCTCCCTGATAAGAATGTTTAGGTATGACTGAAGTCTTAGGCCACACGGTACCAATTTGACTGAATTGCTTATTGATAACAATGATTGTTGTAAATACACAACTTTGCTATGAGATGGGGCGGTAAAATCTAAGCAGTTGATGATAATCATACAGACTGACTCCCTAATAAAAGTCATGTAAACTAAGACTCTGGTGAACTTCCCTTGGTTGGCAACACCGCAAATGCTGTCATATTTCTTTGAGAGAATGAAAAATATCTGTCCTATTGTACTGTGTAAGAATTTATGTGGAATTTGCACCTGGTTTCTTCTGGACTACACTGTAGCTTCTTTTCTCCTTTGTGGATTTTAACCTGTTATCTTTTCACTGTAATAAACCATAGCCATAACTATAACAGTTTTTCTGAGTCTTGTGAGTCCTCCTACCAAATCATCATGCCTGAGGGTTGTCTTGGAGACCCTCAAATGACTTGCTGAACTCAAACTCAGGTATACCAGATTCTCCCAAGCACCTGCTTCTTATTGCTGGTATAATTAGCACATTTGTCTACTATCTTTTCAGGACAGCAAATGTTTCCCATCTTCATGGACAGTTCATCTATTTGATTTAACTCATTCCTAATTATGAAGGGAACTCAAAACATGAAAGAGACAAAATAATAATCTATTAAAAAGGTTGTTAAGCCGAGGATTTAGCTCAGTGGTTCCACGGCCTCACTCGCAAGGGCAAGGACCCAAGTTCGATCCCTGGTACCAAAACACAACAAACAAAAGGTTGTTAAAAGAAACAGCAGTTCTTCATGGTAATGCTTGTTGAGGTAAGTGTAAGTTCCATGGTCATAATTTCCTAAGGAGAGATTCTGAGCTAGGAATTCACAGACTGGCTTCAGAAGTACATGAATCCTATGAAAATATAGGTCAAGTGTGTGTATTTGCATTTTCAAGGACAAAGTCTATTGTTTTTACACACCTACAAAAGATTAAAAATACCACTATAAGGTATCACCTTTCCCCGAGTCCTCCTTACTTATGTACTAACAGCTACACTGCTCATGTTTTTCTTGTAAGCATTACTTTCATCAGTTATTCTACCAAAAGCTTACTATACAAAATTAATAACTCATAGCACTTGAAGAGCTCCAATGACCACTAAAGGAGAACACTGTAATACAATGTGGCAACACTGTATCTAAAACATGCTGCCATGAATACTCTCCCACTTCTAAGGCTATCATGGTTGCCCTAGTGTACATGAGATAAGGTCTAAATAAACCTGTAGCCTACCGATTAAGACTTACTAGGACCAAAAACTACTTACCATTATGATGATGATGATGATGATGATGATGATGATGATGATGATGTCTTTCATGACATCATTTTGGTCTTTAAACATATTCTCTCTCTGCCTAATTTAAACCCATCTCTTCTGCTTTTCATTAAGACATTATTAAATAAGGTTTTTTTCTACATGTGCTCTAAATCTCTCCCCTTCAGGTAAGTGGTAGCTCTTTTCATATACTCCCACATTCCTCTCTGCATTCCACAAGGATAAGTACAAATCAATCTATTTATAATTTGTGGTTTAAGTGCTGCTCATTGTCTTAAGAAGGGCCTTGTTTTGTTTTCCATGGCTTTGAATTCTGAATCCCTACATAGCAGAAAAATATTTGCTGAAACAATAAAGCCCACATAAGAGGTCACAAACATACTGGGAAAGGAAGAGGAATCTAAGAGTTGTATGCAAATTTTTAAAAAATATTTTCATTTCAAAGATAATCTAAAAACAATGAAAAACATTCTGGGTCATGAGTAATCGCCATCTAAACAAGCACTGTCATTGAGTCTTTTTTTTTACTGGTGCTTCTACAGCTATGTGAAGACCTCATTCAGGCCAAAAGCCCTTATCCCACACTTTATAGAAAGACCAAATTTCACAGTAATTGTGAGCAAGAAAAAAAAATATGGAATTTGAAATATAGAAGTATACAGCAATATAGGCATGATGTATTCAAAACCCAACAGACAAACAGCCAACATCACATACATGCTGTAATATATGTAAGTTTAACATGAATCCTACCTTTGTAGCACAATTTGTAAAAGTTCACTAGTAGCAAATATGATTTTATTAAAGTATGCAATGACATTTTTCTATTCCCACTTACAGCAATAATTGGTTCAGAAAACCATTTAATAAAGATTTTAATAGTAGAGTAATGTTAATCCTATCTTCCAGTGAACAAAACAGCTGACGTCTCATTAAAACTACTACTTTAGGAATTCTTGCTGGCAAGTGTTTTGGTTAGGTAAGAAGTCTTATTATCTTGAACTTTCCAACAAACCCCTAAAGTCATTAAGACTATCTTGTACATTACTGATGAGAACAGGCACTTGCATATTTTACTATCACTTGAGTTAAAATATTAAACATTTCAAACAGAATCAGACCTAAGGCTATTTTCTTCTATCATAAAAACTAAACATCCATCATCTGTCACATTGAATAATTGTATCAATTTAAATTTTGGTTTTTGCAGTTGCCTTCGTATTTAATTTTCAGATTTGGGTTACAATAGTAAGCAAGCCAGAAACATAATATATATATCTATCCATCTAGACTGTCTATACAACATAAGTAACATCATGAAAAATACACTCTGTGCTTCTCAAAGAAGTCATTACATTATGGCAAACTTGAAAAAGTGCTAAAGGGCTTCTCTAATCTACCCTTTCAATAAGAGTAGTCACTAGAAAAATATAAACATCATACAACACAAAGCTTACCCAGGCAAGAATTTATATTTAAGAGAATTAAAAAATTCTATTTTGCCACTCTAAATCAGTCTTCATTGAACATAAGGTTGCTGTTATGTAATACAGTAAAATACATTAGAGAAAAATAAATTAAAAATCTAAAGATTCCAATGAATACATGAGCTTTAATTCCCATTTCTAAAAATTCAAATTTATTTTATTAATCAACAAATCTGGCCCTGGCTACTCATTTCCCCTTTTATTAAGCTACGCTTTTGTTTTAATTTTTAAATATATGCACAGGATAAAAATTCCATCTAAAAAAAGGTATACAGTGATATCTCCTGCCCATCCTCCTTCCCAGAGCCCAAGTTCCACTCCCCATTCCAAAATACCAGGCCACTAACTTGATTCTTTCATTTAATTCGGCAATTATTCATTAAGCATTTCTATATGTGAAGTACAACGTGGGCTATGGGAGCAGAGAGATAAGTAACAAAGGTATTTTCACTCAAGCAGCTCACTAAAGTGGTTCGGTAAAAGGCATTAAACATAATTAAAACCCAAAGTCCCAAGGAGAATAATCAAACTACTGTACTTCAACTCTGCTAAGGTAAAAAAAGAATCAAGAAAACCTTCACAGGGCATTTAACTCAAAACTTGGAGACTATGTACAATTTGCTAGATAGATTCAGATGAGAAAATTATCATGAATGGGTTGGTTCCCCCTTACTCAGTGGAAAGATTTCACCCTTTGTGGCCGGGATTCTTAGGTAATTATGTAAGATGCTGACAATCATAAAGGTTTTCATCAGCAAATGAACATAATACCTTCCCAAACTACATCATCTTTTTTAGATACTCATCAAATGTGTACATTAACACGTTTTAAAACTAATATAAATGATATAGCCAGGCATGGTGGCACACACCTGTA